TATATGTATATGTATATGTATATGTATATGTATATGTATATGTATATGTATATGTATATGTATATGTATATGTATATGTATGTATGTATGTATATTTCCTTCCTTCCTTCCTTCCTTCCTTCCTTCCTTCCTTCGGTCTAGAATATCTAGACCAAAAAGACATGTGAAATATTGTTCCAGTAAAAGATATGAGGACTTTCTGAATAATCTGTACTTAATATTCTGAGCCAAACTCAGATATGCTATACTGGCTATTAAATAAACTGTCCTTGACGGAAAAAAAAAAAAGCAATTTGAGTTTCAGTAAATATCTACAGCAAGTGAATCATATAATGATTGGATCAATTACTCATTTGGACTCTGATAAATATTTAATTATGCATAGATTTGTGAAAGGAAAAAGTATATATATATTAAGCCTTTGAAGCTATATAGAATCCAGACATGAGATTTTATTATAATATATTTTAGGGGGTCTGCTAATGAAGCTCCCCAAATAAGTCATTTATAAAAACATTTGGACAGCTGAGATCCCATACATCAGGCAGGAAGGATACCTTGTCGCTGTTTTCAACTCATTCAATATCAAGTTATGGCCACTGATAAGTGATAGATGGTCTAGAGTCTAGACTCTAGGCATGTGAAAGCAAAAGGTCTCAGAATTTCTTTCTGCAGCAGTATGTCAGCCATGAAATCCTATTTTTTTCAGGACCTAGAAAGAAACCTGATAAAAAATGGTATTTTAGTACACAATTCTAAAACTTTTTCAGTACCTAGAAAGAAACCTGATAAAAAATGGTGTATTAGTACCCAATTCTAAAACTTTCAAATCCCATTGAGCTTGAAAGATTAAATAAGGGCTGAACAAGGTATGTATATGAATAGCATCGAAACGACTATGTGTGATGGGTTACTTCGGCCACTCTGTTGTATTTATTGCCAAATTAATCATTGTGTGGCTATTACTTTGATCAGGACTATCACAGGGAAGCAGTTGCTGGGAAGGACATGTATCAAATGGGAAATCCTGTGTTTGAAAAGCTTTGAGCCTCACTTTGTTAACTAGGCAAGAATGCTCCAGGTGTGAGGATTGAAAGGATCCTTTAAGGCTGGCTGAGGAATTCTGGGAGTTGAAGTCCACAAGTCGTAAAGTTGCTAAGTTTGGAGACTTGCTTTAAGGGCTAGTTTGCTCTATTCTTTGGTGGATATGATTGAATAGCCTTGGAAAAAAATATAAATAAATTACATATTTGAAAAATGGTTGGAATTGTTGGAATTTCTGGTTTCCTAGTTATGTAAAGTCCATTATTCATATTGTACTGAATTGAAATCTTTATAATTATTTGCTCAAGGTTTTACTTTACTAATTGGCATGGAACAAATGAGAATGAGCCATCTGTCTGGAGGCATTCTCCAAAGAAAAAGAGTTCTTACGAAAAGAGATCAGTACAAGAAGGAACACCTCTCCTTGATGCAAATTCATTAGAATATCTCTTTGCTCAGGCAAGTACTTCATAAAAGAATTCTGTCTCATTTTATGTACAGTATTATAGTAGTAGTTACATTTCATTATCAGTAGTAGTTACATTTCATGATCAGAATTCTTCATGAAAGAATTCTGTCTCATTTTATGTACAGTATTATAGTAGTAGTTACATTTCATTATCTTTAGGAAACACTGTTACAAGTATTTCTCTGAGATGGAAAATGGATGATTATGATTAATTATTTAAAAGATATGTATAAACTCTAATTGAAGATCAGTATTTGTAAAAGATTGTGAATGCTGCCCCAGATATTCATCAGTGTTACTTTTCTATTGCTTAATTAGTAGAACTATGAGTGCATATTTACAGAACAGTAGTCCTTAATAAGATAAAAAAACAAAAATGCATTGTGTTGAAAACTCTCTTGAATAATACTTCTTCACTGAGGTGTTGTTCTGTGGCAATGTCTCTATTTATGTTCTATGTTTGCTGGAGGAAAAAGCAATACTCTGCTGCATTTTAATATGTTGATTGACTTTTATATGGAAGGCTTTTTTTTCTTGGGTATTCAGTGAATGAAGTAAAATAACCACTTATGGATAAAAATTATTTATCTCACTGTCCAATTTAGGGTCAAAATGACTTGGTAAAAGGTCTTGCACCTCTTCGGGACGCTAAGAATGATCCAGAATCACATGAAATTGAAAATGAATGTTTGGGTATGGCTGTACTTGCAATATCCCACTATGCAATTAAAAAAAACCTGAGGTTACCAGAACTTCTCCGAGATATCAGGTGAGTCTGAATTATTTGTGTGTTGTTGTTGTTTTGACCCATTGGGAAAGATGGGGGTGAACTGTGGAAAGATTGATTCCACAGTTTCTAATCCACAAATGGCCTTGTTTGTGAGGAAAAAATGTGTAAGGCAAAAACAGAAAGGGTTGATTCTGATTTCCTTGTGCACAGAAGAATTTGTGTCATGGCTTCTAGGATTGCTCAGAGTAGTGGCTCCTCTGATCATATCAGTCCCATCCCTATCCTTTGGAGATGTATAAATTGTGACTGAATGACACATGTCCAGTTCTTATTATTTACAAGTAGTTCTTGACCTACAATTACAATTGGGACCAGAATCCTGGACATCTGAAAGAAGTATTTATTAGGTGACCAACCTCTGCAAATAGGCTTCCCTTTCCTTCTGCAAGCCCTCATGATGTAAAGAAGGAAAGGTGTGCATGTGACTTGGGGAATGACACTTTTGAAGCAACACGAAAAACAGGATTCCTGTTGTTCTCCAAATGGCGTGTCCCATTCTCTTGAGACCTGGGGAAAACAGACATTTTTGCTGGCTGGCTTGCAGAAGGAAAGGAAGGAAATGCCTACTTGGAGAGGGGAAAAAATGTGGAGGTCAGCTGCATGGCAAGAGCAACTGGGGCTGTCACTAGTAAGCAGTTTATCTTTGAAGTTACAGCTTGATCAGGTAAGAAAGAGAAAGTTGAAGGACAGTATGGAAACTTGTCTGGCACCATCAGATTCAGCCATGCTTCTTGAGTTGGATTATTACCTCAACTGTTGGCAGGTCTACTTCTTTACTCAAAGTTAAGCGAACCTGCTTTAGCAACCATTTAATGATGCTCACATGTTCCAAAGCACAAAATCGGGCATCTCTGAATCACTAGCCCTGTTCCCGTTCTGCTGGGAGTTCAGCATTTGCTGAATACACAACCAAGTTAGGTTACACTACCATCTCTGTTGACATTACTGTTGGATGTTCAGCAGCTGATTAGCATATCTCTAGCCCTTAGCCCAACACAAGCATTGCTGCCACTCTTCCACTGGCTCTCCAAGTGACCCCTTTAGATGCACAATCTCAGGTGACTCCCAGTATATCACATACCACCAAGTATGCCTTCCTCTTTGACCACCCAGTAGATCAGTCTGAAGATGATTGTTGTTCCACAACCACAGCTGATCTCTTTAGTACCATCCCATAGCTCAAAGAAGTTCCAGATATTAAAACAAAAATAAAACAAAAAACCTTTTACAGCCACTCCAACATGCACATGGCATCTCTAACCTACTTCACAAACAGGTTGCTATGGGTTGTTACTAGCACTCATCTGGCATTGGTGCCTTTATGGAGGAAAAAAAAGAGGAAAGTTGGTAATTCAAATTGTTGTCCAGAGGGACTTTTAATTGCAGTTGATACAATTGGTTGATGCTGTTTCCAAAAAGTAAACACTGGTTTTGCTGGAGCTGCAATTAAAATAATAAGGCATCCTCTAATTTTCCACCATGTTGTTATGAAGTTTATTTAGTACTGCTTTTTGGCTGCAAAATAGTCCCTGGCCAGTTTTAGAATTTTAAACATTAAATAGTCACTTATAACTCCTATTGTAAGAGAAGTTGTGTTTAGTCAGAGAAAGAAATTGTAATAGATGAATTATATATTATTCATGTATACATCACAGTCTGCAAGTAGGTTTTTTATTTTTTTTCTGTGTGTTTATTTTTAAATGAAATATACCTGTTGTAATTTATATCAGGCTATTGAAAATAAATGTGTGTGTTTTTGTGTCCTATCTCATTTCAGCTATAGGCGGTATATTCCAGAAACACTGAACAAGAAAATTAGACAAAGGAACATCTTAACGAGAATACGAATTAATAATGTTTTCAGGGACTTTCTCAAGGAATTTAACAAAAAGACCATTTCTGACAGCAGCGTTTCTCCACATGATCTGAAAGTGAAATACTTAGCAACAATGGAGACATTGACAAAGAATTATGGAGCTGAAACATTTGAGACATCCTCACTGCTAATTTCATCAGAAAATGAGAACTGTAACTTGGATGCTTCTGAAAACATAATACATTATGAAGTGATGGTAGCAGGCAATCTTGGAATCCTGTGGCGACGTAAACCAGTTGTGAGTATCACAAGTCCTTTGTTTACTAATAAGGCTAGCTAGAGTCATTTGAATAGAGTAGTGTTTGGGTTTTATAAAAAAAATTATATGCAAGACTATGAAAATTGAGAAAATCTCAGACCTATAGGCAGACTTTACAATGTAAAAAAATACCCTGGAGAAAAAAGCCAACTAGAAATTAGTTCCATATTGTTGCCAAAACACTACATGGACACTTCAATGAAGTCAGCAGGAATCAAAACTGGAAGTTTCAACTTGGGTAATACTACTTAAATTCTTTCAAATTCAACAGAACTATGCTGAGAGCAGGAATACAGCAAATTACACAAAGGAAAGATATGTTTCTGGCTGAAAACTCTGTGTAAATGTTGCTGAATTAAGGGGAATAAAAGAAGGAACAGGGGTGAGAAACTGCAGATTAGAGAGCACAGCTAGCATCCTTGAAATGTGGTATGGTTCCTGGAGCTGCCAAACCTTTACTGGTGAACTAATTGGGAATTGTACCTGGTTATTGAAAAATAGATAAGATTAGAAGAAGGATGTGACTGATAAAATATCCAGTATAGGTGCAGTATATACTATATTATTTAATAACATAAATATTTTGTTTGCAGTACTGAAGTTTTTAAAAAGACTGTGCAAAGTTACAAAGATATAAAATAGAAAAAAAGACTGTCGGCATTGTGTGTTTGGGAAGGGGTTGTGTGTGTTTGGGAAGGGGTTGTGTGCATGTGAGCCAATGTGATGAGGTGGATAAAGTATTGGATTCAGACCCGAGATGCATGTTCTAGTTCCCCTTCATTCACAAAATCTCATTGGGTGTTTTTTTTCTATTTTAGTAGAAAAAAAAATATGGGAGAAGGAAATTGTATGCTGCCTTGAACTCCTGAAGGAAAGGCAGGAGATAAATATAACATAAATATATGCATGCATGTATTAATTGGAAACAAATGTATTTAATATGAGGAATAAAAGTATTTTAGCCATCCCTATTCAATTTTCAATCCAAAATTACATTTGTATAGCCAAGGCTGTTTTTTAGGAAAATATTATCTTTATTTATATAAGGTGACACAATTTTATCCTTATTGAAGGATTTTTCATAATGCTTCGTGTCGGTTAGATACTTTCAATACAATGAAAGGTGCATTTTAGTTTTCCAGTGTTTTTCAATAATGTAACAGTAACGAACCTAACAACTACTACAAATAACTGAATCCAAGGTTTTTAATATATAACTTCTGCCTGTATGTGTGTGTGTGTATGTGTGAAAAAGAGAGAGAGAGAGAGAGAGAGAGAGAGAGATTGGGAGAAAGATTGGAGAAGATACTGGACATGAGATGAATCAAATTATTCAGGGCGCATGATGTCATTCATCAGATTACACAGACTGAAAAAGAAAAACCGAAAATTAAGAAGAAAAAATATGACAAAGTTGAAAAAAATGAAGAGAAAAACAAAAGGGAGGAATGGATCAGTTTTTCTTACTTTCCTGAAATAACTCATCTTGTGATCAAGGAATCTGCAGTCTGCATCTATAAACAAGATAACAAGAGGATGGTAAGCATACGATAAAGCCACTTATATGCTATCAGAATTAACCCCAAGGCATCAGAATTACCCCAAGGTAGCATCCCCTTGATTTTGTAGCCTCAATCACTAACACAATTAGTAATCTACTGTTAATATACTGTGTGTGTTGAAAGAAGAGAGGTTCTCTTTGTGTATATCAGCATTTTGCTTATTTATATATGTGGGCTAAACTTGTTACCAACTTCTATTTTGTAACAACTTTTATAATAGAAAGGTTGACTAGGGTTCAACATTAATTTGAATTCGAGGTTTCCCTAGCACCTCATTACCGGCAGCAAAAAGTGTGTTTGGAATAAATGGAATTTCTTATGAGATTTTATTATACTTGATGGGTCTCATGAGATTCTGCAATGGAATGTTGGATGACTTTGGGGAATGAGGGGGAAAGATGCTGCCTGGGAAACAATCAGCAAGAGAGACAGGAACACCCCAGTGGCTTAACTGTCAGAGAAAGAAATCTAGGAAAGACCTAATGGATTAAATAGTCAAAAGCGGCAGTCAGAAGTTTATACTTTCAGGTTTGCAAGATTGATGTCAGCCCTGCCAGATAAACCAGACTGGAAATATGACTAGATGAATTATATTTGTTGTAAAGATTCATTAACAAAATCTTGCAAGGTTATCCACATATTCCATTACGGATTCCAGGCAAGAATACTGAAATTTTCATGAGCAGTAATTTAAAAAAAACAAAAAAACTGCATTTGACATTGGTATGCTTAAGAAAAGACAAATATACTTAGGTAAAGTTTAGAAGAGAGGGCACACCTATCATTTCAGCGTAATATAGATAAGATGTCTTTCCTGTTTTCTAGCTTATATTGTATTTAGTTTTTAGTTTAAAAATTTACATTTCAGTAAACTTAAGTTAAATCCCTGCCCCTAGAACAGTGCTTCTCAACCTTAGCTACGGTCACCCAGTGATAAGAGTGCAGCACTGCAGGCTACTTCTGCAATTTGGCAGTTCAAATCTCACCAGGCTCAAGGTTGACTCAGCCAGTGGTGGGATTCAAATTTTTTTACTACCGGTTCTGTGGGCATGGCTTGGTGGGCATGGCAGGAGAAGGATACTGTAAAATCTCCAGTCAGAGGTGGTATTTGCTGGTTCTCCAAACTACTCAAAATTTCTGTTAACCGGTTCTCCAGAACTGGTTAGATTAGAACTTGCTGAATACCACAACTGGACTCAGCCTTCCATCCTTCTGAGGTGGGTAAAATGAGGACCCAGATTGTTGGGGGCAATATGCTGACTCTGTAAACCACTTAGAGAGTGTTGAAGTAATTCCCCGTTAGGAGAATGAGCGCATACAGGGAGACATATTTGAGAATAGTGTTTGAATAATACACATACAGCACACAGATACACTGTACAGTAAATGTAGGTTTTTACTTCCAGACAGTTTAAGCAAAGTTCAAGATAAGCAGTCCAAAAGTCATTCACAGGTAAATCAGTCAGTTTTTCAATCCAGGGATAATCCAAAAGTCCAGTGTCAAAAACAGTTCATTAATAGACTTACATTAAATCCAGTAATATCAGTCAATTAGAAGAAATGGAGCAATACTTTCCAACAGAAGGAAACAGAGATACACTCACACTCTCTTCTGAGACTCAGACTCAGACAAACCAGGTTTCTGGCTCCATCTTATGGCTGTTTGAGAAACCACACCCAATTGCATGCTCTTGCATTTCCTTAAAGATATAGTACTAAAATGTTTATCCTGGTTTATATATTTCTAACCCAAATACCTGTTAGGTGACTTATATTCCTAACAGAGAGAGCTGTAAAGCACTATAAACTGGTATATAAGTCTAAATGCTATTGCTATTGCTATTAGCAACAAGATGAGTGGACTTCAACTTCCAGGATTCCCCAACATCATGGCAAGTCATCTTAAAGTGCCTTAAGTTGAGAAACACTGTTTTAGAGAACAGGTAGTCCTTGACTTACAACACAGTTCATTTAGTGACTGTTCAAAGTTACAATGGCACTGGAAAAAGTGACTTATGACTTTCACACTTATGACCATTGCATACGTGTAAAAGTCATGGCCATATGATCAGAATTCAGATGCTTGGCAACTGGTTCATATTTATGACATCTGCAGTGTCCTGGGGTCAGGTGGTCAGCTTTTGTGACCTTCTGACAAGCAGAGTCAATGAGGAATCCAGATTCACTTAACAACCATGTTACTAACTTCGCAAATGCAATGATTCACGTAACAACTGTGGCAAGAAAGGTTGTAAAATGGGGCAAACCCACTTAACAAATGTTTCACTTAGCAACATAAATGTTTGGTCAATTGTGGTCATAACTTGAGGACTACCTGTACCTCATTGTCAGCCATGGTGTAGATTTAACTGCCATTCTAGGTTAATTTGTATACTTGGATAGAGCATGTCTTCCTTTTTGTTTTAACAGCCCAATGTTTTTGACGATCCCTGTAGGTGGAGTTGTAGTAGTTGATTATTTTGTCTTACCTGAAATGGAAGAATTCTTCAGACTTTTTTTTTTTTACCCTAGGAGTTTAAACTGTCTTCGTGTGAAGAAGCTTTGTCGTTTTCTGCTTTGGTGGATGGATACTTCAGGTTGACTGCGGATGCCCATCACTTTCTTTGCACAGATATCGCACCACCTCTGATAGAACATAATATTAAAAATGGGTGCCATGGCCCAATTTGGTTAGTTAATAAACAATATATATCTATGTATATATAATAATCTTGATTAGATAAATCAACTTTATATTCCTTCCTTTTACTTTCAACAATCCTTAACTTTAGTCTCTTCGAAATATGTCCTCGAACTAGATTTCTTTTCATTCATTCTTTAGCTGTTCTCACAAAATGATTCACAGCATTACCAAGTCTCTGTTGTGCGTATATTATGGAGCGTTATCCTGCTTACTCTTTTGGCTTGTTATTTGTATACCACTTAATTACTAAGGCATCAAGTTCTTGTATATCCAGTGTTGCATCATTTTCTATATCATTCTTGTTGCATATCATTTTAAAATCCACTTTCAGCTCAGTCTCTCTTGTCTGGTAAAACATGCTTGTCTTTCTAAATATTTTCTAAACACTCTGTTTAGATATTGTTAAAGTATTTTGCTCCATTCTGTATTAGTCAAATTTAGTTATTTTTCCCTTTAATTGCAATCTTTAATTCCTTCTCATTCCCTCTAGTGTCCAACCTTAAAGATCTCATCCTATCATGTTTTAAAAGAGAATTGATTAAAAAAAGCATTTTCTCACCAGAAGGATTCTAAATTAATCCCAAAATCTTAATTCAAATCCATATGGATCCTAAATCCATTTTCAACTTTCCAAAATCAAATTTTAGTAGTCCTTTTACTGTTTATTCAAAAATATTTTTAAGTTCTTAAACTTTTATTTAAAAGTTATTTTGCTAAAAATTGAAAGAAACTCACCTTATGCTGTAAAACCTGTTGATCCAAAGGTTCTTAATAGCTAAAAAGCAATTGATGAACAATTTCCAAAAGCAAGTAGAAAAGGAAATGTGTGAACTTTTTGAAAGGCACTTACTGCAGTTTGAGCACTGGTGGTTAATTCCTCAAACTCCCAGAGCTGGAGACCACTATCTTGCAATCTCCTTGTAAGGAGCAATTGTCTGAAACATTTTTGGGTGATTTCAAGTCTTTTCCTTATCCGGAGAGGAATTACAAAGATCTGGTTTGCATTTTGGCTCTTCATTCCAATCATAATCATTGGTTCCACTTTAAGTGGAGCTGTCTACAATTTGACATCCCCCCCCCCATGACTGTTTTTAGTATTATAAAGTTCAGAAGCAGGTATTGTGGGGGGGGGGGGTTAGTAAGCAAAATTTAGTTCAGTTGGAAATGAAGGGGCATACACTGTCTTTTCCTGAAACAGCTATCTCCCTTCAGAAACTGATCTTAAAACAATATTTTTTGTAGCCAGTCATTATAGTTTATAAAACACTTGCTTTTTTATTTTTTTTAATTATTTTCATTTTAGCTTCCCTCATTTGAGCCTCTCAATTTTGGGGTTTATGAAAACTGAACTACTCTGTTCATTTGGCTAGGGAAAAGCCATTTTATAACTTGTAACAAACTTTCAACATTTCAAATATTTTATGGCCCCTGCCATTATATTTCTAACAACAAAGAAAAGTTTACATATTTTATTATTATTATTTTTTATTAATCACTTTTCTCAAACGACTTTCAGCACAGAATATGCTATCAATAAGCTGAAACAGGAAGGCAATGAAGAAGGGACGTACGTATTGAGATGGAGCTGTACAGACTTCAGCAACATTCTCTTGACTGTGATATGTACAGAATATTCAGAGGTATGAGGGGGTCCAGTAATTTTCTTTTTAAATCCCTTTGATCTAGGTAATATAACATTTGAAGAATTGGCTTGAGAAGTGATACTCTTGCCATTAATGATTCAAAAAAATGACTGTGAAATTTCTTTCTTAGCAAGCATGGAATAGCTGAGCTTCCTGTCAGTTTCTTTGGTGATAACTGACAATTTTAAAAAGAAGTTAAGCTCTGTTACTTATTTTTCCATTAGGGTATAACTATTGACAGGGATTGCCAATCCTAGTCTTATTATGGTTTTAATTTGTTCTTACTAGAGTGAAAGCATATATTGCTAATATATTAATTGGAGGTGTGGTAACTATTTATTTGAATACAGCTGTCTGGGCAGATTGCAATAAAACTGTTTTAGAAAAAAAAGTGATATGTAATAATTTAAAAAAAAAAGAAGAATAAAAATACCACACACCTCATTATATGATTTCAAGATCTGAATAGGTACACAAGGGAGAAAGTATCTAGTTACTTAAGCCATTTTAAGTCTGAAAAGTCAAAACCAGCATGTTGAATCATTCTAGAAATGGACTAGCAACCACTGTCATAGCAAAGAACTGGTATAATATGTATGTATTGGCCAGTTCCAATGAGCAGTTTAGTTGCTCTGTTTTGAACTAACTGAAGTTTCCACTAATGAATCATATACACCCTGGCATCCATAGTAATCTGGAATCTTAATTTATGTTTTATATTGAAAACTATTGATGGAGTTGATATTTGATTATAAAAACCATATTTGTGTAATTACCTGGATTCAAAGGGCAAAATGTGATGTGGGGCAAGCATAGGCATTTGCATATTATCTGTTGGGAGCACATTAACTATTTCTGTCTTGTCTACGTCTAAGCTGCCTTAATACATTTTTTGAGTTTCATCAAGGTTTCCAATGTGGTCTTAAGCTTGTATTTAAAAGTTTCACCAGATGATATTGCAAATGATCAGTCTCAAGTGGGATTTTATTTCATTCACTACATTCTCTTACAACTAGACACAAGAACAGTTTTCCCCCCGAATGCCATCACTCTGCTAAACAAATAACACTAACTATTTACCAAGTCTGCATTATTACTATTAATCTTATCATCTTTCCCATCTTTCCTATCATCCATCTCCTCCCACTTATGACTGTATGACTGTAACTTTGTTGCTTGTATCCTTACGATTTATATTGATTGTTTCCTAGTATGATTTGATTGCTTATTTGTACCCTATGACTATCATTAAGTGTTGTACCTTATGATTCTTGACGAATTTATCTTTTATGTACACTGAGAGCATATGCACCAAAGACAAGTTCATTGTGTGTCCAATCACACTTCACCAACAAGGAATTCTATTCTATTCAGACACAAACATAAATCTGTGTTTTACCTGAATTCACTTAGTGATTTCTTTTACTTTACTTTTCCTTCATTCTCCAAAGCACTCAATGAATCTTCCCAAACAGTATAAGAACTTCCAGATAGAAATGAAGAAGGATGGATGTCTCTTGCATGGATCTGATAAATTTTTTCCATCACTTAAAGAGTTGATGGACCACTTAAAAGGACAGATCCTGAGAACAGATGAGATAGTCTTTACTCTCAAGAGATGCGTTCAGCCAAAACCAAGAGGTAATGTTTTTAAGTTAGCTTTATGTATTCATATTAACCCCCTTTTTCCCCACCAAAATAGATTGTTTCATCAGGATCCTATTTTTTTTTTTGCAAATATATAGATATTATAAATAATACATGCCTTTATATTCTTAGAATGAGATTATTCAATCCCAAGCAAATCAGTTCTCTTTAAATAATTGAGATTTGTTCAGAACTAAAGGTCGGGATTAGATACTTAGAATGTACTTAATATAGAAAAGAGGAATTACATGTTATAAATATGTAATCATTCTGTAGGTGAGATGCGTGGCATAAAATTAATTAAATTAAATGTTTGTTTTGCAGCTGAAGCTAATAATCCCAAAAGGTGCAACAAATGCCTAAACTCCTGGCCTTAATATTAATTAGCATGTTAATTTGATATTAACAGACAGAATAATGATCCCACAACAGTTCAGATTCTTTTAGACATCACAAGTTTTAGGAGATATTCCTAGGAGATATTCTTAGGAAAGACACAATAGTTCAGCCAAACATTGTGTTCAGTGAGGTTAAATAGCCATTCTACTATTGTTTAGAGAAGGATGGATTGTACATTCAGCAGAACAATAAAGGCTTATATAAGTGCAGTTGAATGAAGTTAATCTTGTGTGTGAAATATTTCAGTAAAAACCAACTATTCTATGGTAGAACTGTTCTGGATAGCAGCTGTAAATTTAAATTAATGTAGATTTGTTTTGACAATGTCATTTTATGCACTAATCTGATAACTGCCTTGAGATATGAAGTTGTGCTGAAGAAGACAATGACTTATACTGAATTATTTAGTAAAATTTGTACCTGAAAGTTGATTTTCATAATAAAAATCAAATTCAAACATCTACCTTCTGTGGAATAGGTTTGATCCTAAGTTATATTGGTATTTCTTTACTTGGAAAATATCCAAAGCTGGCAATCATTTGGAGGATTATTAATCATTATTAAGGATTATTTTGTATTGCAATAAATTTGGATGGCAATCTGTTCAAATATATTTGAGAGGTTTTCTTTTTCTTTCTAGAAATTTCCAATTTGCTAGTAGCTACAAAAAAGTCCCAAGAGTGGCAGCCAGTTTGTCCTTTAGGTCAACTGAGTTTTCATCGAATACTTAAAGAAGAAATAAAGCAAGTAAGTGATTGCAAAATCTTTTAAAATTTATACATACATTCTTTCATGAAGACTTGCAGTGATGTCTAAGAAAATCTGGCAAAACTCATTGCATAATATATTTACTCATACTATATGAGTATGAGAATATATTACTCATACTAATTAGTTATGAAAGTTTGAGTGGTTCTGCTTCTTTGTGTTTTTTAAGTGATACGAATATTCCCTCAAGTCTTGCAAGTTATTTTATGCACTACACTTACCGGTTAATTTTTCTGATCTGTTTTGAGACCATTTACAAAGAATTACTTGAAATAGGGAATGATTTGTAGCAAAACAAAAAGGGAAATATTGAATTCATATCAAAAAGTATACAGTATGAGATTCACATTCTTGCTAAATACAGATATATAGGGATGATCTGGAGAGATGTTGAACCATAGTTTAATATTATATAAGTTCTGTCTTCCCAATATCCTTTTTAGCACTATCAGAAGGAATTCTGTAGCTTTCAGTTTTTGTTACTATTAACTGCTTATGTCTTGGTAATGCCAATCTGTCATTGTCTTTTTGGCTTGTTCATGCTTTAGAAATTTCCCAGAGTTGGCATAACGGGTTAGCATAAATATTTTTGACCAAAGTAATTGGCAACAGAAAAAGACAGTGACTATTAGTTTTAAAGTCCCATAAATATTATATGGAGGTAGCTGTTTGTTCAATATAATACCTAATTTTTCTAGCACAGTCAGTTCAATTAAAATTAAAGTCATCTGACTTTTGTTATTCTGTTTATCAAAGAATACTGTATATTTACTGCCTCTTACAATGAAAATGTTTACATTTCCCCCCACTTGCAGGAGTTGCAGTCAAAAATCAAACATGCATATTTGATACAATGTTTGGGTTTATCTTGTATTTTAGGGTGAACATCTTGGCAGAGGAACAAGAACACAGATTTACTCTGGGATTCTTAGCTATAAGGATGATGAAAGTTATCAGGGGGAAACACAGATAAAAGTTCTGCTGAAAGTCTTGGATCCAAGCCACAGAGACATTTCTCTGGTAGGTTTCCCTAAGGTTACTATGTAAAAGTCTATTACTGATGGTTCTCTTTTGTATGATATTTTTAATGTTGGGGTTGAAACAAAAAAGCTATAAATATAAATACTGAAAACTGTTTCAGGCATTTTGTCCTTGATGTTTGTAACCATATATTCAGTTGAGTTGTGCAGATCTGAAGAGGAAAAGGTGACTCAGAAGGCGGGGGAGAGGGTCAGTTGGGGAGCACCTGTTGCTGTGACTTTTTTTGTGGGATGTTTTTGGTGGGATTGCACAGCTATCCATAATTTGTGCAAACGAACGTTTCACTGCTTCAGAATATATATCAGTACAGAACCTCTTCCATTAGATGCATTTATACTAGGAATCCCTCCTTTTGGTATTGTAGACAGGGCTATCTCTTGTTACAATGGTTAAGTAGGAGCCTTCCCAAATTGTTAGTAGATAAAGGTACTGGGGAGATGATAACTCTGTTTGGATCATTTTTGTTGATGTCACCCATGAAATGTGTATGTTTTTTTACAGGCGTTTTTTGAGACAGCCAGTATGATGAGACAAATATCTCATAGGCACATTGTCCTGCTTCATGGAGTTTGTGTGCGTGATGTAGAAAGTAAGTCAACTCTCTGAATACAACTTTTCAAGCAGAAACAGTGACTTAATCAGCTATATGGAACAGGGATAGTTTATGACTGCAAGAGGTCTTCAATTTCATTTTGCCCCTTCCCAATGATTAGTTCTAGGAGCAGTCTGTTTTATTTGGAGCCCACGGGGGTGTGTGGAGGCAAGGGGATCTCCAAAAAGACACACATGGTATCGGAATCCCCACTTAGCCTTGGGATAAAGTTAGCCTATTGACCACAGTCCTAATTCTGCCTTAAAATTTCCCACTCATCTTTCCTTTTCATATGATTTCTCTCCCCTAAACAAAATGCACTGAAGACTGAATGACATGAACTGTATTTTTTTATCCATTTTTAGTCCGATCTATATTTTTTTTCCTGTGGCTTTAGACATTATGGTGGAAGAATTAGTTGAGTTTGGGCCTCTGGATCTTTTTATGCACCGTAGGAGTGATGCTCTTACAACACCTTGGAAATTCAAAGTAGCTAAACAGTTGGCAAGTGCTTTGAGCTACCTGGTAAGTCCTAGATATCATCTACCAATACCTGTTCTGACTCCTGGTTTTGTATCACACATTACCGATTCACAGCTGCTAAGCAAGCCTTTTCAGGTTTTAGCATTTAGTATGTCATGAAGTAGTAAATTGTGTGTTTATGAGGTTTGCTTTAAATTTGGTTTAAATTATTGTGATCTTGGCCAAATTCCTTCAGCTCTGTAAGTAAATTATCTGCATTGTTTAATGTAGATATGAGGACAACGTGATCAAATTTTGCCTTCCCCCACCCCCAGATTTTTAGATATTCCCCTTCCTTTTTTGTTCTTGCCCTGCCATATTTAAACAACATTCTAGGTTCACTGAGCATGCTCAGTTCTTGTCTAGAAATGTCAAGATGGAATTTTTAATACATCTGCAAATGTTGGAGGCATTGCATGAATGGGGGAATTTTGACTGTAGAAAGAATGACTCTTGATATGCTTGAGTTCAAAAATAGAATGTAAATCTTTAGCATCTTTTGTAAAACCATTTTTTGCATTTGTGATGCAGTATGGTGATTCTTGTTTTGTACCATGTTGAAAAAGAGATTGTTTGCTTGGATCCTAAAATAAATAAGAAAGTTGTGTGAAAGATTGGTTTGTATATCTTTTGCCTATTCCTTACTGGCACTTTTGATTCTCCCAAAGTCTTTTCAATAGAGGCTTTAACATTGAAATCATTAGGAATGGAGAGAAGAAAATAGGAAACATTCCTTCCATGAATTTTGATTAGATAACTCCTCTTAGGATCCAAGGCTTTGTGTTCTGTGAACCTGTTCCAGCACCTTTTCATGCTGTCTGATAGTATTTAACATGTGGTTGAAATATTGATTAATCTCTCTGAAATGCAGGAGGACAAAAACTTAGTACATGGAAACGTGTGCACAAAAAATATACTGTTAGCAAGAGAAGGAATCGGAAATGAATATGGACCTTTCATAAAGTTAAGTGACCCAGGAATTCCAGTTACAGTGCTATCTAGACAAGGTAAAACTACTTGTACATATGTAGATACGAAAGAAAAATACCCTCTAATTGTATTGAAACACGAATACTTCTACATGTCTATGCTAACTGGTTCAGCCTTTACTCTGACCAACTTTTATTATTCCTCACTGACACTAGTTGTTGAATCATGTTCCAATGGGGAAAGTGGGCAGAGTTTTCTAGCAACCTGCAACTAAATTGGCAGGACAAGTGGAATTCAGTGAACTTTTAATAGATTTTACAATTGTGTATTACAGTAAGGTTGGTATCTGACAGTAGCAAGAGGAATAGAATTCTCCTAGGCCCTTTGGATATTTATGCAGTACTGGTAAGACATGGCTAGTACGAATATCTCTGTAATACAGGCATTGGAGAAGCACATGCTCTGTTGTTTCTGTGTGCCCAGAGTCACAGGGATTTTGGCCTCTCCTATATCAGCATTCAAGGACAGCTAAGAGGAGGGCCTGGCATCATGCCAGAGTAAGGGCCTTCCATGTTCAGATACATCAAGTTTAGTTAAGTATGCCATATAGAGTATCACTATATAACAATTCATTCCAAAATTTCTCTCACTCTTTCCTTTAAGAATGTGTGGAGCGCATTCCTTGGCTGGCTCCAGAATGTGTGGAAAATTCCAAAAATCTAAATGTGGCAGCAGATAAATGGAGTTTTGGGACCACTTTATGGGAAATTTGCTACAATGGAGAAGTACCACTTAAAGACAAAACCTTAGCAGAGGTGAGATTCTGGGAAAATCAAGCGGGCATTCTTTTCTTGGTGACTTGCTACCAAAGGAAGAAACTCTTTTCTTGTTTGTCTTCAGCGTGTGGAAACATCTTTTAGTTCTCCCACCGAAACTTGGCAACACAAGTGGAAAAGTGAACTTTTTCTAGAGTGAAATAGATTTTTCAGTCTCACAGCATTTGTTAATACGTCCAATATCTGTGTTAGTATTCACTAACATTGGAAAACGCATACTCACTGGCAACTTTAGAAGGGAACTTTACTCAGTCATTTGTGGGTAACCTGAATTACAATAAAAAAAAAATTCAATTCTATGATAGGTATTAAGCTTCAGAAAACGTTACTTGTAGATATCTTTTGTTGAATTTTTACTGAGAGGTTTATTTCCTAGTTTTGTGATTAATGCCACTGTTTTCATTTCATTTTTGCAGAAGGAGAGATTTTATGAAGGTCACTTCATTCTTCCAGCCCCATCATGCAAGGAGCTGGCTGACCTGATGAAGCAGTGCATGCACTATGATCCAAGTCAGAGGCCGTTCTTTAGAGCAATTATGCGGGATATCAATAAGCTAGAAGAGCAAAGTAAGGACTCTTCCTTCTCCTCCCGTTAATGATGGGCAAATAATACCTCCTGGGCTTAGTAGTATTCTGTAACAAAGCTAAATGTGCAAATTGTCACCTCAGAATTCAAAGAAACTTATTGTAGAGTTCTTTAGAACCAGAGAAAGTACTGCAGGTCAGCAAGTATAAGTATAATAGTCCCATATTAAGGGTTAGTAATATCATGACTTGGATTTTATCTCCCATGGAGTAAAATCCTACCTTTTTAACAGTTCTGGAAGCAACTTGCAGAAATGAAAAATAAACACATCCAATATGCTTGGCCTGAATACAATAACTCCCTTTGTCTTTGCCAGTGCTTGAAACATTGAAATTTATCTACTACAATTACACTTAATAGGTCTTATCTATTAACTTTGTTGCGATTCTGCTGACTTGCTGCAACAAATTGGACTGTTAAATTCTGGAAATAGAACACAAAGTTTAATTTGCCAGCCAGATTGGAGTTGGTGGCTTCTAATCACTAGCCCATTGCTTCTAGTTTTCCTTTGCCACTTGAAGCTGCCTGCCTTCTTTCTCAAAACAGTTTCCCATCACATGAGAAAAAATAGCAGCTGTGGTTGGCTGGGAGTATTAAGAGGAATCAGTAAACTAAATGTAGTACATCTTTACAGCCAGATATGGGATATGGTAACGATAGCAAATACTTGTAATCTAAAATCTGAGTAATTATTTATGTAGACACATTTCTGTCTGTGTCAGATCCTGATATTGTCTCTGAGAAGAAGCCAAATGCAGAGATTGATCCTACAATATTTGAAAAGCGTTTCTTGAAGAGGATCCGTGATTTAGGAGAGGTATTATTTATTATTATTATTATTATTATTATTATTATTATTATTATTATTATTATTATTATTATTATTATTATATTTATTATTATTATATTTATTTATTTATTTACAGTATTGATTATTCAAACTAATGATATGTAAGAAGTAATATGAAACAGCGAGGATATTCTCTTCCTTTGAGCTTGTAACAGGTGTTTGAAAAAATATAACTGCATTTTTCTTTTACTAACATTAGTATGCTATAGTTATCTCCTACTACTTCCAAAAAGTATTTTCTAATAGAATCAATCTTGTTTGGAAATTAACATTCTCTGTGACAAATGTGATTATAAATAATATAGATAGTTCTTGTGAAGGCTTGTGAGAGCAAAGAAGAATATTATTAGAGATGGGTGTGGAGGGCTCAAAACTCTCTGAACATTTTACCATCTCTTATTGGTAAGTAAGGAAACGGTTATGTTGCAAAGCAGTTTTGTAAAGATAAACCATGGTATGAAATGTCCAGGAGGATTTATTTGATGGAAAAAGAGAAAGGAGTGGGCAGGTAACAACATCCCCATGGCTTAAAGGCGTATGTGTGTGTGTGGGGGGGGGGTAATTTTTACATGACCATTTTAAATAACAAAGGATATTTATGGACTATTGTCACAATAACTTGTAACTGTCTTGAACAGAAGGGCATAAAATATATTCTGAATCAAGGTTTATTTTCTCTTTTGAAACCAGGGCCATTTTGGCAAAGTTGAACTCTGCAGGTATGACCCTGAAGGTGATAACACAGGAGAACAAGTAGCTGTAAAGTCACTGAAACCTGATTGCGGCGGGAATCATATCGCTGATCTTAAGAAGGAAATTGAAATTCTAAGGAACCTTTATCATGAAAACATTGTGAAATACAAAGGAATCTGCACCGAAGATGGTAATGTCTATAAATTATTTATTTGCTTCTACTTTTATAAAATGTTCCTTTTCCAAATTAGAGGATGACCTAACTGTTGATGACAGAAATCCTCCTTCCACCTCAATTAAGCAGTGGCTCAGTTAAAAAAAAATTTTTCCCCAATAAATGGTACCTGCATCATTATAAAACCATGTTCTGTTAAATTATGATTGTAATTAAATCTGTAACTTAAGCTGCCACTGCAATTATACTGAATACCAGTACCAACCAACCTTTATGCTCCAGAATTCTGTTTTAGGAGTGCTCAGAAATATTAATTGTACCTGAAATACACCAAATTATTCAGGAAATTATTAACAAATACTTGTTGACTCAGGGCTTCTTCCTGAATTTCACAGAAAAGTAAGTTGCATTGCCCATAATATGTAAAAGAGAGCTTTGTGGTTGAAAACATACAATAAATACGCAAGATTTGATTCAAGACTTATTTGTAATATATTTTCATGGGCATCATCCCTTCAGTTGCTTAGAGTAATTGTTGGAAAATCTGATAAAAAGGCAAACATTTTCTTCTTTCTAGCTAAAATAATGTGTTAAACATATTTTTAGATGTAATTCTAATGGATACTCTTGTCCTGTTTTAATTAATTATTACCATGCGCACCACATAGAGTTGCTTTGACAGCTAAGATATCTAATGCAGGTAGTCCTTGAGTTACACCCATAATGGAGCCTGCCCATTACAGTCATAAGTTGTAACTCACAAAATGGATTAGTCATGTGATCAACCTAATTTTACTATTATTTTTCTGGTGATTATAAGTGCAAATGCATAATTCAATATGGTGTGGTTTTGTAAAATAAAATAAAATAAAATAAAATATGGTCACGTGACTGCAGGGTTCTGCAAACAGTTGTAAATGAGACTATGTTGTCAAGTGTTGAAGGGATGGTCATGTGACTGGGGAGGGAACAGTTGGAATTTAGGATCCTGGTCGTAAATCCCTTTTTTCAGGTAGGTTTTAACTTCAAACAGTTGCTAAGCGACTGGTCATAAATCAAGGGCCACCTGTAGATTGATTAGCTAAGTGACAGAAGATCAAGAAAAGCATTTAAAATAGGCCGTGGTATTCCTACAGTCGGTTGAAATAATTTGTGTGTTTTAAATACAAGGTGGTAACGGAATTAAGCTTATCATGGAATTTCTTCCTTCTGGGAGCCTGAAAGAGTATCTCCCTCGAAACAAAAGTAAGATCTCCCTGAAACAACAACTGAAATATGCTGTGCAAATTTGCAAGGTAGGTATTTAATAGAAGACAGTGAGACACTTTACTTTCCAATTAGCATATTCAGTAAGTGTTTGAAATAATTACTCGTAAATAACACTTTAGTTTCTCCTAGAATATTTATTTAGCATATTTCCTCTTTTAGGGTAAAGTCCCCATGAGGCCATTTAAAGTACAATCTTTAAAAAAATAAATCAAGTTAAAGAACCACGAAGACAACACTACGTTAAACTATATATGGAGGCAGCATTAAGATGAATAAAAGATTGGGTTAGAGAAAAAACAGCAACTGTTAAAAGCCCACAAGAGTAAGAGGTTTCAAAGTTATAGAGAGAAATATTTGTGTCACTGAGAGGGGAATTGGTGGGTCTATCATAGAAAAGTTTTTACTTCTCATACCTCCCGAGATACTTCATGTAAAATACACTAAATATGGAATACTGATTTTTGGACCTTTACTTTTTTTCTGTTCCCAGTTTTTCAACTGCGTGGTACTTTTATTATACAAAACACATGAACTTCCTTTTATGCAGAAACTTGGCATTCTTTGGTAGGGGAGGAGTTCCATGTTATGCACCCTTGCATTAAAAGAACATTTGCATATGTAACAAGGCTCTCTTTAATTAATATATTTTTTCACTTCTATAAAACATTGTTTCTTTAAACAGTCCATCTAATGAAAATAAAGGTATTTGACATAGCCCTTTAAAGAAAACCCTTTAAAGAAGATAATGTCTCAAGTCAGTGGTTCTCAACCTGTAATCTGCAGACCCGGGGGGGGGGGGGGGGAGCTGTGATTTTTGTCACAGGGGGTCCATGAAGACTTGAAGAAATGTTATGATTTCAGTCTTAAGTCTTGTGGGTCCATGGCCATGATCTGTGGCCACGAAAAGTATTTAAAGGGGATCAATGATGAAGAAAAGGTAGAGATCCACTGCTCGAAGGGATTGGTCTGCGGCCAGAAGAGAATAAAATTGACTTCATATGTTTTGTTTCTTCATTCAGGGAATGGATTATCTTGGATCTCGACAGTACGTTCATCGAGACTTAGCAGCAAGAAATGTTCTAGTTGAAAATGAGCAGAGAGTAAAGATTGGAGACTTTGGCCTGACTAAAGCCATTGAAACTGATAAGGAATATTACAAAGTGAATGATGATCGAGACAGCCCTGTGTTCTGGTAAGAGACGACCAGTAGGAACCTAAGCAATTATTTTTCCTTCAAGAAAGGAGTTGGCTCAAGTGAATGAACCCCTTCTGTGTCACTGTGGACTATTCTGTTGTCTAATCCTAGGCTTCCTGGTTCAGTGATACCTTTGTGCTATTCTGTAGTCAGCCATTGAAAAGGTCCTAGAATGGAGTAGAGCAGGGGTCCCCAACCCCTGGGCCGCGGCCCATTGGGAACTGGGCCATGCAAGCTGCATTTGTACAAGTGGCGCACATATGTGTGAAACCATCTCTTCCCGCTGCTGCTGGTTGGCAGAGCCGGAAAGATTGGGGAACACTGGAATAGAATAAGCAAGGAAAATATCCCTCCTTATATAGGTAGTCCTCAACTTATGACCATAATTGAGTCCAAAATTTATGTTGTTAAGTGAGAAATTTGTGAAGTGGGTTTTGCCCCATTTTACGACTTTGTTAAGTGAATCACTGCAGCTGTTAAATTAATAACATGGTTGTTAAATGAATCTGATTTCCCCATTGACTTTGCTTGTCAGAAAGTCACAAGATTGCATGATTCCTGGACACTGTAACTCATAAATGTGACTCAGTTGTCAAGCGTTCGAATGTAAATCGTGTGACCAGCGGGTTGCTATAACGGTTGTGAGCGTGAAAGATGGTCAGAAGTCACCTTTTTTTCATTGATGTTGTAACTTTGAACGGTCACTAAATGAACTATTGTAATTTGAGGACAACCTATAACTGGAAGACATGATTGGTAAAAATCACTTGAGTTAATTATATGGGTTTGGCCTAAAATGAAAGTATTATATTATCTATATTATTACAGTTTCAAGGTTACTGTTACATGAACAAATAAAGGCATAGTATTTGCTTCCATTACTGTTTAAATGGAGGCAAGCACCTAGCCCCTCCCCCCAAATGCTTTGGGCTACAAAACCAACTTTGAAAGTTATTGTTGTGCCAGAACTGTTGGGGGAGCATCAAATTGCCTACCTACTTAGGCCTAATAGGAATTGTTAAAGAAATTTTGAATTGGCCCTTAGTCTCATCTCCTAAAACCTTTTTTTTCCTTTTCTGCTCTAACAGTTGCTTATTTTCAGTAATCTATTGCTTACATTTCAGTTTGTTTCCTTTTTTGTTTTCTCTTCAACTGAGGCATAACCCTTCTGCTTGTTCTTCAACCCTTTGTTCTAGGATTGACTTAACAATTATGATTAAACATTAACAAACATTATTAAAAAATTAACGTTGTGATGACTTTATCTCTACAGCCCAGAAATCAAACATTTCCCATTATTAATTGGGTAAACATCGGGCAACAGTGTTAAATAATAGCAGTTAAATAATAATAACTAACAAATCTCTTCCGTTTGCAGGTATGCCCCTGAATGCCTATTACAGAGCAAATTCTATATTGCTTCAGATGTCTGGTCTTTTGGAGTGACCCTGTATGAGCTTTTAACTTACTGTGATTCTGAGTGCAGTCCAATGGCGGTAAGTAGCAATAAAATATTTTTTTTTGTTTCCCTAGTGTGATGCTCAGGATCTCACAGGGGATTCTCCCTTGCAGGAGGTAGTTTTTGAAATGCTACATTGCCCATAATTTGTTTTTTAAAAGGGGGTGGGGTGGGCATAAATATTCAGAGCATTTTTCTGGGGATCTTACTTTACGTACTAAACAGTCATGGTGTGTTCAACTGACCTGGTAGTAAAAAGAACCGACAATCAGCTGAGAGGAGGAAAAAAATTCCAGTCAGCTGAGGAGAAAGAAGAGAAAGAAAAGTGCAGGTTGGGCCCTCCCACCTGCCCCTGCATTTCTCTTCTTTATCCTCTCAGCTGATTGGCGCTGCAGGCCTCAGTAGGTGTGGGGAAAGCTACGCGCCAAAGCACTCCCACCAAGCCACGCCCACCGAACCGGTAGTAAAACAATTTGAATCCCACCACTGCTACCAGATATATTCTGAAATGTTTGAACTGAATAGGTTGAACTGTCCAAACATTCTTCTGCATTTCTGGACCTTTTAAGCCAATTAATATTTGTGGTTCTATTATCAAGGGCACGCGTGAAGTTATCAACACAAAAGCTGTGCTACTATTCATGCCCATCTTATTAGACTGTTCATCGGGAGGAATGCTGCTTAGTATATATTTTTTCCAACCCACAGGAATTCCTGAATATGATTGGCCCAACGCAAGGCCAGATGACAGTCACGCGGCTGGTACGCATATTAGCAGAGGGGAAGCGCTTGCCTTGTCCTAAAAACTGTCCAGAAGAGGTAAACATGTTTTTTTTTTTGCCTTTGTTCCTTTTATAAAAGCATTTTTAACTGTCATCAAAATGACAACACTTTTAAACACTAAACCAGAGGTCTCCAAACTTGGCAACTTTAAGGCTTGAGAACAAGTTCACAAGTTGCCGAGTTTGGAGACCCCTGCACTAAACCATAACAGATTTACACAAATCTTAGGCGAATGAGCATCTGTACACTCCCTCGTTATATGCTGTCTGAAAGTTCCTGCTCTGAGTCACGGGAAAATCCCTGACTTGCCCAAAATTGTATTAGTTACAGGGTTAATTAGTTAATCAACTCCTCTCGTTGTAATCGAAGTATTGATTCCACTCAGTGTAAATGTCCCCCTTTTCACTTTAATTATCCAAAAGATCTACTTCCTTTTCCCAAAAATTTCTGCAGAACTTTGGCTGCAGTTGTGATTTGCTTGGGGACAGGGATGGAATGCCATATTTAAATCCATTGATCGCAAATAAGTAGGATCTCATTACTTTATACAGAAGCCATTCAGAGGGAAAACAATGCTCTCTTTATAATATAGTTGAGCATTCCAGCCTTGATCATTTTCCCCAAACATTTTTTGTAGTCATTTTATTGGAAGTTTTAGTTGCAACTTTAAGCCTTGCTAATAGCATATCTGGGCTTTTATGGGTGCCATTTATGTATATCTTGATAACCTCCTCCTTGGCACAACTTCAACAGATAAGGCTCCATAAAGTATACATGGTTTGTGTAAGTTTCTGTTTAAAAAACAACAACTCATTTCCCTACATTCAACATCTAAAAGCAAATATACATACTTAAATGGGGCTCGGTTCAAAAGAACAGCCTCAAAGAATTAGGCCACAAGTGTTTACATGAAAGCAGCCTGATTGTCCTAGGCTGGATGATTTTAGCATGGATATTATTTCCTGCCCTTCGTTCCACTGATACACTGTGATTTCTCCGACCTTGTTTCCTTAAAAAAGGTAACAAAAATTATGTTGTGCTATCTTGCCTCCAGAAGTTGTGCATGTTCCAATACTGGAGGTTTTTAAGAAGAGATTGGACAGCCATTTGTCTGAAATGGTGTAGGGTTTCCTGCAGGAGCAAGGGATTGGACTAGAATAGCAATAGCACTTAGACTTATATACTGCTTTATAGTGCTTTACAGCCTTCTCAAAGCGGTTTACAGAATCAGCATATAGCCCCCAACAATCTGGATCTTCATTTTACCCACCTCAGAAGGATGGAAGGCTGAGTCAACCTTGAGCCTAGTGGGATTCGATCTGCCAAATTGCAGTAGGAGTAGCTTGCAGTACTGCACTCTAACCACTGTGCCACTGAGGCTCCTTGAATACAGGGTCCCTCCTGTTATCTCTGAACTAGAACTTCAAGCAGTCCTTCAGGTGCTAGTAATAGAACAGAGATAGGAAGGGGACTGTGATACAATATGAGACTATGTGTTTGAAATTCAAAGGAAACTTGACATAGCACCACTCAAATTTTATAGTCCATCTTAGAATCCATGACTTATCCCATTTCACAAAATCATGTGTTAACCAGCAAAGACCTTCATAAGCAAGGAGGAATTAAATCTCATCCTGAAAGCTAGAAGCAATCCGAAAGCATCAACCAATGCATCTAAAGGCTACCTAAAAGCCCTTTGCCTAATTCTATGAAAGAAATTCCCCACAAAAGATTGCAAAGAAATTATCTTTCTCCCGAGAAGACCTATTAAAAGCATAAAACCCAACATGCTGAATAAATGGTAACGTTTTATCTACAGTTTTGAATAATTTGGCATCCTCCCAGTAGACAGCTTCTCATCTTAAAATGATTCAGCATTCTTGCCAGCAACTGTACGTAGACTTAGCCTGGCAAGCTGTCTGTGGTCCTGTGAGCCCTACAAAGGACTCCGTTTGAGTTACTAAAGACAGCATCCCAGAATCGTACTACTTTAGGCAGCTTCCTAGTCACCATACTCTTTACATTTATATAGTCTCAAAAATTAGTTCTCCTCTAGTAAGGAAGTTTGCATTTTTCACAAAGGCTTACTTATTCTGTGTCTAGACTTTATGTTTTAATTTTTTACCTCCCTGCTACAAATGGGCTATTTGCCTGCCAAGGTATACCAGACATACATCTTCTCCATGCTTTTCTTCAGGTGGCCTCATTTTCTTTTTTCCTTTTTTTCATCAAGCGTGGAATGAAGCATGTAATAATTCTGTATGATAATTTTAGCATATTCTAATAACCTTACAAATTACAGAAAGCATAATTAGAGTCTCTTAAGTGGGTTCCCTTAAGATAGTTATAGAAACAAATTTCCTGCTTCTTTTTAGCTAATATAGGATTTTAAAAAAACGTGTCTTGTGTGCTTCATAGCCTCAGAAGCAAATGTCATGGTAAGAACCTTTGTGCCTTTTATTTTCTAGGTTAACCAACTGATGAGAAAGTGTTGGGTACAGGACCCTGGTGAAAGGACAACTTTTCACAATCTGATTCAAGGCTTTGAAACACTCATTACCAAGTTATAATCCAACATTTTTATACTGTTATTGTTGAATATTTTTTAAAAGACAGCCTGTTGCTAGATTTTTTGTAATTTTGCAATTCAGCAATTCCTTTTTGCTTGGAAATAAGAGTTTGCTACCCGGCCAACCCAAGCGGTAAAAGCATTGGGTCACCCTTTGTGTGATGGCCAGAACTGTTGTATTCCATTCATTTAGGTTCTAACTGGTGAAAATAGTAATTGGCTTGCGCAACATATGAATGTTATCAGGATTTTAAAAAGAAAATAGAAGTTTTGTCAGAATAATGGCCTCGAGGTATGCAGTGTTACATTGCTTCTTTGTGAAAGCTTTTAAAAATGTACATTATGCAAAAATGCTAATGCTGTTTTTGCCAGAAGAGCCATACAAATATTCCTATTCACTGAGAAGGCTTGGATATGCATCTGTAACCTTCGAATTCAGTTACTCACGTTAATTGAGTAGGATACTTCTGAACTCATCTTAACAGTGGAAAAGTTTATATCATATTATGGATACTTGCTATTCATAGGAAGAAATTACTATAAAGCATACTGATGGGGAAAGCACTAGTTCTTTATATCCGAGCCTATTTCTTTTTGTATATTGTGTATTTGTAAACTTGTTTCCTATATGCTTGGTGCCACATAGCCTCTATCACATGTATAGAGCCGAGGTCTCTGCTAGTCATTCATCCCTAAGGCATTGTTTGATGTTTTCGTTTATTTACTTCCCTTTAAATGGAAAGCTAAGGAAATCGTCTGTTTAAATTTGTCATTTTTGCTTAGGGGAAGAATGTTGAATTAGAATACTTGGGCCATGGCCAAATGCCAATGGTTGCTCCTTTTATTATCCAGGGAAATTTCCAAATGAAACACTCAAATAACTTTGATTTTTTTTTATATATACAGTAGGTGTTCTGAACCTTATCCAGAATGCAGGATTTTTATAGACCTATCTTTTATATGTGAGCCAAATAATAGGTAAATGTAAAAGCATTATATCAATGTTGAAGTGATACCCCTCATGCCTGATAATATTTTTAGTAAACGTCATGAGCCAAATCAACAAACTAAGCAGCTAGCCAGAGAAGTTACCTCTGGGTATCTTTTATTCTGAACTGCAACACCCCTTCTGCACAAGGGTGTTGCCATAGATACAGTATGTTATAATACATTATTCAACAATAATGTATGCATTTTACCTGCAGTGTATAAAGGAATAGAATTTTACAGATTTGGAAAGCTCTTGAGCTGGATCCAGATTTAATCACTATTAAAGAAAGGCTTTTGATTTCATTGGTCAATTCTAAGTAGACTTAACCCAATCTGTTGAATCTAAATAAACCACCTATATTTTTAGTTGAAGGAAAATGGCAATATGCATGTACATGGAAAGGAGCCATGATACGGGATTTACCAGATGGTCCTTTTGCTGTCAATTCAGAAGTCTTTTTTAGGTTGAAAAAAATAAGGGGCATTCTTCTTTAAAAGGAAGCTATTCTTTCCTAAAATAAAATATTGCATTTACGGACTAATAGAGGATTTGCAATAATGTAAAATGTAATTTTTATCCTAACCGATCTTTCAAATTTCCTGTCCTTTAATGTAATCTATAAATACTCTATATGCACTTTGTTATTCTTCATTAAAGAAAACCCTTTTGATTTTATCCAGAAATGTTCATCCATTTTTAAAAAAATGTTCCAACTACTTTGTGCTCAAGCCTATACTCAGATATTTTGAAGCGATCGGTCCATCTCAGTTGGGCATTTTTGTGTTTTGTCCTCTTCTTGTCGATTTCCCTGATAACTGTCCATTTTATTCATTTATTTGTTATACATTATTTATAGCCGCCCCCAGTCATGACTCACTGGGCTATGTGTAACAAGGTCAGAAAGGACACAAAAAGATTATGATTATTCATGCATATCAACTTGAATGCCTGCAGTTGGTTAACTTGGCAAAAGTAGCATAGGATTTTTAAAAAATGTTTATAGAAGCCACTGGCGTAAGGGTGCTGCATGCACTATTTAATAAAGAACTGGATATTAAAAAGTTAGTCTACTACTGGATACATGCTGGAAATTTAGTCTAGTTCTACTGAATTAGTTCTACAGCACATTGGCTCAGCAATTAAGAGGCTGGGCTTGTTGGCTAGAAAACTGAGAGGGTGAGCATCCATCCTTGCATTATCTCCTGCCAACCTAGCAGTTTGAAAGCATGCAAATGCGAGTAGATAAATAGGTACCACTTCAGTGGAAAGATAACTGCACCATAATGCCATGTTGTCCACATGATCGCAGAAATGTCTTCGGACAGTACTGGCTCAATGGCCCTTTAAATGGAGATAAGCACCACCTCCTAGAGTCAGAAATGAGTAGTGGAGTAAAATCCGCAGGATCTCTTACCTACTACAGGACTTCTGTGCAGAACCTCCCATAATGTGTACAAAGAAGCCTTTTATAAAGTTGCTCACAATCAAAGAAGTGCACTACTGTTTGAGCTTGTATGAGGAAATGAAGAAGACACTTTTTAAAAATTTCTGTTTTTTTTCTATTCAAGTCTAGCATAGGTCTAGAAAGTCGCAATTTGAGGGCAGGGACAAAATAATTATTCCTGCTGCTGTGTTATGTCAATAGAACCATAGTAGAAGTATCAAACACAAGGCCCACAGGCCAGATCCGGCCCATGGGGCTACCCTGCAAACAACGAAGGACCCAACTGCAGCACTTTGAACCATCCCAAGCTGACTGGGTGCTGATCTACAACCTGGTAGAACAGGAGACTGTGAGTGCGCATGGGACCTGGCATCCTGGGACTGTCTTGCCCCACAGACTGACTACTTTCTGAACAGTTCCCTTTCACCCAGGATGCCAGCACTTTTGCGCTCACTCTTGTGCGCATGCCCAGGGGGTGGGGTCTAGATGGCGTGGTGGCCCCTTAGCTCAAACAGGAGCTCAAGGTAAGCGTATCCGGGAGCCCCCTTGGGGAAGCAGGGTTGGGCTGGGCTGGGCTATAGGGTCCTGGTACTCTGGGACCTCAAGAGCTGACTGAGCACTTGCCCTCGGCAGCCCATACCATCTGGTGGTTCTCTGCATGGCCTGAGAGGGATGGCAAGGCTTCTCTGGAGGACGAGGCTTTGGCACTTGGCCTAGTCTCGCCTTCCTCTGCTGGAGACAATGATCCCCCCCCCCATCCTGCTTGGGCCTCCACAGGTACTCCTGACAAGAACAACGAGCTGGCCACACTCCACCCCAGCCACGCCCCAACCAGCTCCCCAAGGTCAACCACAACCCTGATGTTGCCCTCAATAAAATCAAGTTTGACATCCATGAACTATAGTATTAAAGTTGTAGACAAAGCTGTAGGTAGAGATGTATCGTAAGTTATTGAAATTTCTTGCTCCCTTCCGTTCGCTATAGGCATACATTTGAGGAGGTTCACTTTGTAAACCATCTAAAGAGCTGTAGGATAAAGATATAATCGGGTAATACAATCTTATCATAATTGCTTATTTCCTAAATTTCTGTAACCTAATTGCAAGTAGTAAAAGTTGATTGGTTGCCAAATGTGTACATTCTTCAGCTTATTCAACTTCCGATATGAGCGAAGTGGACTAAACTATATAGGCTTGTAAGAACATTTACTTGCCTGTTTATTTATCAAGAGCTTGATTGGTCAAAAGGTAATGGAAATGTAATGAGGCCAATACATAAATATAGAAGTGGCATCCTTCTTTCAGAAGTGGCTTCCTTCTTCCAGGAACATACGACCAAAACCCATTGCTTAGTGTCAAAATATGACAGGTCTAATTCTACAAAACAGCTGCTTGCAGCAATTAAGCTGCTATTGAACTCAGTGGCACAATCCCAATAAACATTTCGATCAGATTTAAATATATTTAGTTTTTATGGGTAAAGCCATATTATGGTCATACTACAATTCTCAATACTGTGAGCACACAGTAGTAAATAAGCCTGTTTCAAACACATTTTCACTCATAAGAAAAGTAGACCAGTTAGAAATAAAAGTAGCATATTAACAGAAGCATTTCATGTATGTACAAAGTATTACTTCCGGGGACTGTCCCCACAAATTGTCAAAGTGACCAAAAAGAGTTTTCAAGTTGGAAGTGAGATAAATTAGATATTTGCAAGAACCATCTGGAAAGCATATTCTTTTCATTAAATGCAAGTGACTGTAATAAATTCAGCTCCAACTGGATATTAAATATATATTCATACACACTATATTTGAAAATGTGTTTAAATATTGCCTCTAGATTTAGAATTTAGAATCCCAAAGGCCAAATCTACAAACGTAAATCTAGTATCAGTCCTTCAGTTCCACAGAAACTTTATCATAACATACTTTATATTTCAACAATGTTATTTTTCAATAAGACATGAGTATCTTGACATTTTCCTAATTTACTGCTAGGAGTTGTCTAATTTTATTTACTTATATATTTTGGAAGTTGTAAATCATCTCAATAATAGTGTATTATTATTGTTGTGAAACAGATAATAGAATTAAACACTAATCCTCTTCAATCAAGGACTTTAAATCATCAGACTTCCTGAAACATCATTGACCAGCATTATTGCTTTTTAAGGGTTTCAGTGCAGTTTCTCAGCAAGACAGCAGGAAACTTCCATTATTTCATTGTTTTGAGCCTAGCTTTCACACCATAAGATTGCTATTCTTCTAAAACACATTACCGTCAGCCCAGACAACAACAAAACAAATTAATCTGGAAGACAACAGCCTCTTCCCCATACCATTTTCCTTATCAAAACTAATTTCTGCGGTACTATTGCACATGTTATCTACAGTATATAGATAGAAATCTTAATAGACACGCTTTCTTTTAAGGTACAGTTCTGTATAATGCATTCCGGAGCTCTGAGTATGTGGTCCAACGTATTCTACTGGATTATCTTCTGGATTTGTGATGAGGTATGAGGAGCTCCGCTTTTCATTTTTTACTGGCGGCACCTAAGGATCATAAAAAGTCAATTATAGTAATGTGCAACACCAAAAGAATGCTGAATTTGACATTTGATAAACTCTAACCATGATTCACACAAAAAGGTGATCTTAACAGATATAATAGTTGGTTCCAGAGCTTTATACCCTGAATTATGTATTCCTGGATGGAATTGTATAAAGTATTCCTGCTGGTGGAAAAGGAATCTATATGCAGCTTCCAGTGCTGCCCTTCGAGTACATTGGCTCTTGAAGGATCTGCTATTTTCTTTAGAGCAGGGCTAGACAAGTAAAAATGCAATGTAGACTTTTGCTGACTACAGGAGACCTAAGTTGGTTCCAATTTCATGCTTATTCTGAAAAGTTCCATTACCAAAATAACGAAGACAAATAGTATTCACAGCAACTCTAATAAATTAGTACTATCTCAGAACTCTTAATGGTAGCACAAGATATCTGCTGAGAATACACATCTGTTCAAAATGTAGTAATGAAAAAAAACACCAGATTTTATCTGCTACTTATCCTTCAATGCATCTTAGCATGATATAGGACTTTGGAAGCTCTGGGTTGTAGCTACTTAAATGTTGGTTATGTTTGATGTATTCCATAGTTTTAGGCTCCAGCAGAAATATTTTTACCTTCAGGGGATTTTGAGGTGTAAACGGCAAGACGCTTGGATGGAAGAATCCTTGGGCTGCAGCATAATATGAAGGCATAACCTGTAAATAGGTACCATAATCACCATAAACTCCTCCACTGGATTCCTACAGAACAAAACGTAAAAATAAAAATATGTGTTAGGAAGCTGATAACCAATTAAGAAATCAAATTACTGCAAGAAATTAATAACATAAATTTTCAGAAAGAGAAGTATATCTCTGGTATGGAGAATGGAGTAGAGGAGATTGTAGTCATGATTTTCTCTAGATTCTAAAGTTCACTAGTTAACCTGGCCCCCATTAGGCCCCCAGCCTAATTTGTTTACAGCGCTGTTGTAAAGATGAAATAGCTACGTATAGTAGGCACTGCCTTAAATTCCCACTTGACAATTCATGATCTTTGTTTTCGTTGGGGCCTTCTTCTTTCCATTATATACTATAAGCAGTCTCCTCCTCTTCCTCAGCTGACCTATTCCTATGGAACTGCCTGCCACTTTGCTGGGGAAGGGGAAACAAAGGGAGCTGTGAACTTCAAGGAAAACTGCATTCCTGCTCCACATTCCTTCTCCCTCCAGTGAGGAAAAGGGTTCACCTTTCGCCCTCTTCCTCTTCACCATGGAACTGCTGACATTTTGCTGGGGAGTGAGGGGAGGTAAGGCAACCATGGATACCCTTTACCTCACTCTGTCCCCCAAAGACACCTTTACTCCAGAGAGGAATAGGACTCATCCGTGCGACCATAGGCATCCCTTAGCCAACTCTATCTTGCCAGCAGGCATATGAAACTCCCTTGTTTTTCCTCAGAGATT